TCGATCAACATGGAGTCGATGGGGGGGGGGGGGGAGTGTCGGTGAAGGAAAGATGAATGCCTGAAAAGATATTCCTTGTGATTCATGCCGTTCGTCACTTGTCCCTTTCTCTACAGTGTGGGGCGATGCCGCAGAATTCCTTATCGCCAGGCGGTGAGCATGTATTTTTTCATTTTCTTTTTACTGCTAATATCTGTCTATAATCGTGTGCTAGCGTCGTTGATGTTTGCCTTTTTTGCTTTTTAACAAGTTCATGAGACGATAGATGGAAGTCAATCACAGGGTTTTCGTTGTCGCCTTCACTGGGTTGCCATGTATTGACCGGGGAAGGAGATTAATGTGGAAATTGTCTTCGGGGATTCGCAAAGAATTCTATTGTTAATTTATGAGCACATGATTTTGATATTTATACCATGCGGACTCACGCGATCATTTTCTTATTTTGATTCTCAAGGTGAACCGCAAATGACACCTCTGGAAAATAAATTAAGTGACCCATATCAAAATAGGAATTTCAGGCTTAATATATCTAAATAATTTGAGAACAGCAAATAGTCAAACTAAGTGCCTCTTATCTAATTATAATTGTATTAAAATTAAGTCTGGGTTGTTTAAGACTAAACTCTGGAAGACATCGACTCCACCTATGCGGAACATAAAGCTCGTTCGTAGAAAGGCTACCTGAAGCCTACGACCTAAGGGACTCTCTGTCTGCCGGCGGAAACGGCTTTGTAGAATCTTGCAGATACCGTTTCACGGTATGTTTCCATACTTCCATCTTTTTTTTAAATTTCACTTACCTTTCTTAGAGTCGTCCGGAATGTTCGATGTATGTTTCAGTGTCCAACGGACATGAGCGTGAGCTGTTCCAAACTTGACCTCGCCGATTCTCGAGGATGCAGAAACGCTGATTTTGTCATCAACGGAAAGAGGTATAGCCAGCATACGACTCTAACCCTGTCTCATTTGAGAAAAGCCTTCTTGCTTGGGCTGAGTGGTGGGGGTTGGGGAAGGAGAGGGGGAAAAAAGGAGGTTTTTCTTAAATGAGACAGGGTTAATATGAATAATAATCATACGAATGGCTTCCGGGCAATTATTGGTGAAAGCCCCTGTAAATGAAAGCCCCAAGTTCTCGTGGAAGCCTATTTTAAAGTGAAGACTTTCATATCACTTCAGTCCTTTCATAATTATGTATTAAATACTGGGTCTTGTGAGGCATAGCCATTGAGAATTTTGTTTCGTCAGTATGTGCGGTAATGAGGGGCTGCTGAGATCACCGATGCACGTTGGGAGGACTCTGAATGCCATGCTGTACACGGTCGGTCCCACTCGGTCCGCCCCGAACGTCCGATGCAACGTTGTGTGTGGTGGTGAGTGTTCGAGTTCGTAGGGCTGCTGAGATCATCGATGCACGTTGGGAGGACTCTGAATGCCATGCTGTACACGGTCGGTCCCACTCGGTCCGCTCCGAACGTCCGATGCAACGTTGTGTGTGGTGGTGAGTGTTCGAGTTCGTACCTAGGAACTTTTGTGTGATCTTTGGAAGCCCGTAGAGATTCTGGAAATACGTGGAGCATCTGGGGTTCCTTGGTGGTTGTGGTTGATGGCTGAACAGGCGACGGTGTCGAGAGAATGAAGAATAACAGCCTTGATGTCCGCCTTTTTCCGAGGACCGGGCAAATAAATTATGAAAGAAAGTTGTATTGAAATCCACGAGGAATGGGCAATCCTTATTCGCATGTTTCAGGTGGGGGCGAACGGAGACAGGACTTCAACAGGCGACGTCCATTCTCAAGCTCGAATCGTCAAGCTGCTTGCAGTGGGTAGCATATGAACTGCTTAAAAAAAAATAATAATAAAACTCCTGTTTTCATATGGGGAAAGAATTCGCTTTATGCTGCTGCCAAATGAGAAGAAAAAGCGGCAAATCTGGTCTTGGTTCTCAATGCTGCTCTTGGTAATGTATGAGAAACGTGGAAATCAGGGTTCAACGTCCTGGAATTTCCTTTCGTTAAAGGCGCATATAATCAGTGCATGTGTAATCGACTTGAGTGATGAAGACAGCTCGATCAGTTTTCCCATAGGAAAGGAGTGGAGTTTTTTTATATTTGCAGGGTTGGCTAAGAAATTAGTAAGCTGCTCGAAATGTTTCTATAAAATCCATATGTTTGAACGGATTCACTTGAACATTTAAGTAAAGACTGCCTAATATGTCCTCCAAGAGCTGTTGAAATTTCATTAGCCCTGAATTCTTGAGTTATGGCAGATTTTGTCGAAATTGTCACAATTCTGAAGGATCAAGCATGTGGCTGCCGTTGCGAGACTTGAATTCACATTGGCATTGGTTGTTAAAAACATGCTTCTGGCAACGTCATGGTAAGTTTTCACAATGATCCGTCTACGGGAACAGACTTTTTAAGCAAAGATCTAATGTGGATTCACACCTCGCAACGGCAGTAACGTATCTTATTACTCGGAAATTTTATGATTTTGAGAAAATCTACCATAACTCAAGGGTGGTTTGTCGCAGGCGTATGAAATGTTACCAGCTCTTCAAAATTATATTAGGTGACGTTCCATTAAAATGTTCAAGTCAATCCGTTCAAATTGATGGATTTTATAACAAAATTTCAAATAGCTCTCTTTTTTTTGGTCAACTCTAAATCTTAAAAACTCCCGAAAATGCACTGTGAACCTTGTCCGTTATCATTCGGCAGCGTGTGGAAAACTTGGCGTGCCCCCAAGCCGTTCTGCGTTTTTGCCCGGAAGTCTGCGGGGAACCCTGCTAGACCGAATCCTCGGAGGCAAGGAAGTCGACTATCCCGGGAAATATCCCTGGATGGCTAAACTCACTGTTATATTGACTCTCCAAAATAATTCGGAAGTCGTGACCGATGAATGCGGAGCCACCTTGATCAACGATCGATACCTCCTCACTGCAGCTCACTGCTTCTGGCTGCCGTAAGTCCAACCATCCATTCAGTGTTTTGACTTTTACACATGTGCATGTATAAAATGAACCAAGATCTGGAAAAGTCCCATTGCAGTTTCATACTGTATTTTCTTTTAGTGAAACAGATAAGCCCACGTTTCAGAAGTATGTGCACGTTGTGATAAAAACATGATAGTCGGGAAAGTATTGTTAGCCACTGGTAATCATTCTCAGATGTGAACATTTTCTTTGACTGACCTTGAATGTCGTAAAGGTCAATTAAAGTATTGAGATGTACATCGAATTTTATCAAAGGGATGATACATTTTAGAAAGAATGTGTTATATCGTATATATATATAATATCGTGTCCGACGATTAATTGAAAGCTTATTAGGCGAATGTCTGGTACGGCTGTAGGCTGCTTTCAACCAAAGCGCACAGATTTAAACGGGATTTACTATGGTGCCATTTTCACCCAAACCAATCTAGGCGACGGGGGGAAAACCCCGCTCGCGAACCAAATCTGACAAAGTGAATGGCTAGACTATGGGAAGTTAGACGGCAGAAAAGGGGCAAGACTGAAGAAAGCTAAAAGAGGAAGTACGGTGAACATAAAATCCCAGAAATTTTTATGCAGCGTCTTCAGGAGATTGAGACTGCAAGTTTGAAACGACACCCTATCCAGACTGTTTCTGCTGTTAGGCGTTGAAGCTTTGAAATTAAATTAGAATGGTAATATAAGCTTATACAGGGTGGCGCGGCTAAATAGAGGCCCCGCATATATGTATGTATGTGAAGATGCCTGAGCGATCATTATTATTATTATCATTTTATTACTATTATTATTTATGACAAGAGTACTTACAGTACGTATACATGCCATACTGATAGGGATACAACATTACAGGATGTGCTGGAAATGATGTCCCTCTGCGGCAATACATTTCTGAACCATGTGCAGTATATTCAGCGCAACCCATTGCAGTTCTTTCTTGGAAATGGCGGTAATTGCAGCGGTGATGTCCTTCAACTGATCAATTGTTTTTGGATTGTTCTGGTACTCTTAACCCTTAAGGTTCCCTCACAAGTAAAAATCACATGTACTCGAATCGTGCGATCGTGGAGGTTAGCGAACTATTGAAACGGTGCAATCTTCGCCTAATATCGCATGCACGGCAGCCAAAGAGTATCTTGACTACGATTTGAGTACATGTGATTTTCACTTGTGGGAGAACATTAAGGGTAAAGTGTAACAGAACAATCCAAGAACAATTGATCAGTTAAAGGACATCACTGCTGCAATTACCGCCATTTCAGAGAAAGAACTGCAATGCATTGCGATGAATTGCGCATGGTTCAGAGCTAATATATTAATATATACAGTCACCTGTATATATTAATATATTAATGATCGCTTGTATCTACAACTGTATTGAGCTACACTAATGTCTAGTTGCATGCTATTATCACAAATTGCACAATCCCCCTAGTTAGCTGCTTCTCTATCAATGGTTCGTTCTCTCCGACGGATTGAACGAATGATGCTGACCTCACGATTGGCCAATCCAAATCACGTGACTAGAGTGACAACTAGTGACGTAGATGTGCGGGGACGCAGCGAACCGTGTCCAGACTATGGTCTGGACAGTCCGTTTTCTAGCGTCCTGGCGAGAGGTTTCCTGCCCATCACGGGCGTCGATTTCTCATCTTCAGTTTTTCAGAGAGCCGAGTTTACATGAAGTATCGGCACACTACATTACCAGCCGGCACTGCCAGTTTGATGGAATTTCTTTTCGAGTCATGGTCATATGAGCCCTTCTTTGCTCGCTGTTTCCATGGGTTCAAGAATCGGTACCAGTTGAGACAATTATTTTAAGCAATTATGTCTGTTAGAAGTCTTGGAATTCATAGATGGTGAAGTCTTCGATGCTAATGCAGTATAACATTACTAACTATTGGCTTCAACGAATTACGGGATAAGAACTTGCATTATTTAATGAGAAAAATCGAATTTAGTGATTACACGAATTTAATGGACAAGCCGAAATCGAAGTTTGGCGCATGCTGCCCTTGGGAGCCACCTGGACACAAAAATCAGACTACCTCTAAGTGACCTGATTCATAAACCGGAAAAAAAAACTAGGACAGCAGTTGTGAAAGAGGTGTACAAAGATTTCCACACGGAGACGTATGAGCACACGCCATTCTGGTTCATGCTTCATTGAGTTGTAATTTATTTTTGCGTCCCTTTTCGATTTTATTTACAACTAGCAGAGGTACTCGGCGTTGCACGGGTGAACATTGATCAGGTTCTGTATTTGCACTATATAAAGAACCCAGGGGCAGGGCCGAATTTAGGGGCAGACAACCCATGGGACCGCCTAGGGCAGGTGGGGGGGAGGGGGGGGGTGGGGGAAGACGCTCTTTGTCTGGGGCGCCATTTGGTCCTTGAGCCGGCCCTGCCCTGAGGTGTCCGAATTTTGAAACGCCACCTAGCCTATGACCATTCCCGGACCAAATGAGGAAGCCAGACAAAGTTTGATCGGACTGGGATCAGAGGCGCAGCCGTGCATAAAGGAAAGACAGACACACACCCGAACATTCGAAAATATAGTATAGAGATTATTTGGAAAAAAAACTCGAGAAATTTATAAAAGGCAGCTAGTACAGAACGCCATTCTTACTTCTAAGTTGAAATGATTGAAGGGTTGAAAGGAAAACTGGTCTGAGCCTTATTTGCTAAAAATTCGTGCCCCAGGAGGTGCAATGATCAACCATTTCCCCCGCTTTTCATCCGCTGTTTCCTACCTAGATTAGGGCTGAAATATAAACCTATAGATATTTTTCGCGTTCATTTGCTCAACATAATTTTTTTTGTAAGTTTTCCCTGTAAGTTTTTGCCTATCCTTTATGCATCGGCATCGGCAGCTTGCAAACCGACGGATGGCGCCGATAGTGCAACACCGTACATCGTTACAGCCCTATTATTAAGACTTATGACTCTCTTTCCATGGATGGAGGACATATGGATCACCTTGCAAATGTTGTTGCAAATGGGAAAATCATGATTCGTTTATCCTCAAAGGAAACACTCCTTTTTTCCCTCAAACAGACCTATTGAATACAAGTCTGAGCGAGTCATGGTCACACTGGGCGAGCACGACACATCGACGACAGCAGAGGCCGTGACCTTGGTGCAGGAATTGCTCCCAACTAATGTGTTGATCCACCCCCAATTCAACGAGAAGGCATTTGACGACAATGACATGGCCCTCGTGAAACTGAATACCCCTGTGGACTGGCAGGCGTCCCCCAACATCCGCCCGATATGCTTGCCCGGTTCTGCACCTCCTGGAGTGGGACTAACAGGCACCATTGTCGGATGGGGCACTACAGCGGCTTGGTCTGCGGGTAAGCATCTCCATCAAGGGTTGTCGAAGGAACGATAAGCAGGTTCGTCAGTCTTCCTTCCTCAACAGGGGTAGAGGATCGTGTTCCTCCCCTGTGGAGGAACTACTAATTTCGTCCTAAAGTCGTCTCCAAAGAAAGCGAGATATAGCTGTATACGATTTATATTATGCCTAGATAAGGGGTTAGCAACGGCGAAGAATATGTTCCAAGCCCGTAAAGTCTGTTGGGCTAATTACTTTCCTTAAAGTAACTCCAACTGCAATATTATCACACCGACTGAGCGGGACTTTCTAGAAGGGATCCCCTTCTCCCGCTATGTCTGGTGTCTTCCAAATACCTGTACAGGGTGTCTGAAAAGTCACTCCCTATTTTTAAGTTGTTATTGCTCCTAAACCAAAGGAGATATTAAAACATTTCTTTAACTGAATTGAAGCTTATTTTTTACCGTTTACTTTATAACAAAATTGAAAAGCTTTATTGCAAAGTTAAAATTCAACGTAGGCTCCAGCATTGTCCTCGCACTTCTGTAACCTTACCGGTACATTTTCAACAGATTTTNCGGTAAAAATTAAGCTTCAATTCAGTTAAAGAAATGTTTTAATATCTCCTTTGGTTTAGGAGCAATAACAATTTAAAAATAGGGAGTGACTTTTCGAACACCCTGTAGATTACCATCCCTTCCCTCTCCCATCCCCTGCCCCACCCTTCTCCCTCGCTCCACAGGTTGAAAATTTCATCATAACCAAAGGCTAGAGTCGAACAGGAACTTGAGACAAAAGCAATCACATTATATTTGATTGCCAGCAATTAAAGCATTTTTTTGCGCGTTTGCCCACCTATTAGCCGAGTAAGTGATTAACAATGTTGGAGATTTAATGATACGTAAACGTGACGGTTTTCTAACTATCCCTTGACATACTAACCACTACAATGGTAAGAGACAGCATACAGATGACATTGGTTTTCGTGATGTGAATTTGAGCCGTAATGCAGCGATAAGCCAAGGATGATTTTCGAGCATCATATTTAAATTCCGCTATCAAAAGCGGTCAAGGACATTACTTAAGTTAGCTATTACGAGATGCATTAAAAAAAAATCTAACTGCCATTAATTGTCTTACCCAGGGGTTCTCAAAGTGGGGGCGCGAGAGGACATGGGAATTTTTTTTTATTTATTACAATGCCGAATTTAAAAAAAACTATGGAATATTTTCACTTTTATTTTACTGGAAAAAGGTCACATTCCTTTGGATCTTTCTGACCCTTTCACCAGGTGTACAAGACTAAATGAAAGTAATTCAAGGGAGTCAGACTTAAATTTGATTCCTTTTTCGAGGAGTGTTCATTTCCATCGGCGATTTCCAACGATTCGAATGAAGATGACAAATAAATCGTGCGTCGCTTTGGGCTGTAACTTGAATGCTCAATAAATCGGTGTCGGTGCACTCATTCTGTAAATAAATACTTGAAGAGACTCAACGATGCAGAAGAGCTGGGTTTCCCGGACAGAGCAAAATTTCGGAAGACGTTTCACTATAAGGTCTTTGAAAATGAGATTTGCGCCGTTATTGTTATCGTCCAGGCCAGATTCGATAGTTTGTTGACCCAGAAACAGCGTGCTTCGTTCTCATTAAATTAGGCGAATGATCATTCGATTCCTAGCTGTGACCCGGTCCCTGGACCGTTGCAATCCGTTTCCTATTTTTTTTTCAATCATTGTATAAGAAAAGCATCCGTGGTGGTTTTAATTTCAATTTCTAGGTACTTCTCTCAGAGAGAAAGTGGGTGCGACGCCGAGCCAGGATCGATATGGGGGGCGCAGCGTAAAAAGTTAGAGAAACTCTGGTCCAATAAATGCAACCTGGAACTTGTTCATTCATGTGAGAGATCTACTTCTGATGATACAGTGCTGCAAGTTTTTAATTTTGCGAAGAATTTGTGCACAGCAGAACATTTCATTTAATGTGAGAATTAGTTGAAGATGTAAGAGTTTTTTTAATTTTATCAGAGAATCAGGGTCAAAGACATTATGTATTTTACCCTGCAAGGGAAGATAGTGCCCTTAGGAAAGATTAAATCTCCTATGAATGGGAGAAGGAATCCAGTCTTGACGATAATATGTGCAAGTCCAAAAATGCCGAGAGATGAGCATTGTACCAGATCCATTGCTGAAAGTTACCGCTGCAAGGATGGAAAAATCCTTCTTGATAAACCTGGGAATCACGTTCGGTCATGCCATCAACAGCTAAAGAGATTCACGATTGATGGTAGGTATCACTTTCTAGGTCCTAGTCTCTTCCGCGTTCTGACCCGATTACCTGACTGTCAATACCATGAACGGCGAGGGTGTCGTGGCAATCCACGTAACTGATATTTTAAGCGTAAAGTGAAAACCTTATAGGACCTACATCACAGCTCATTGTATTGAATACTCTCTGCCATTTGTGTGTACTGATTTTTGGATTTGCATGTGGAATAAAACAAGCATGAATAAGAGAGTTCACTCATCATTCAACTTATAGCGTTTAGACTGGATCGGGCCAGTTTAATAATATCCCCCTCTTAGACAAAGTTTTATCACGAGTCTGGGTGATAAAAAAGGATGCTTTTAGACTGCTTTTAAATTTAGATTAAGTTTAGAAGAGGCGAGGAACAGGTCCCTGTTAGGAGGACATACTGGAGGGAGGGCCTTTGAGTGATACTTCTTCCGTCTGATTCCCTCAGATGCAACCGTTCCAACAACTTCGAAGGTCGTAAGGGAAGCGGAGGTGAAGACGTGGAGCCTTGATGAATGCAAAAGTGCTTTGGTGAATGAGACCTTGACAGAAAACATGTTTTGTGCAAGCGGGACAGCTGCTATCGGTGTCTGTTGGGTGAGTGCCAAGAATCTCACAAAACTTTGAAGAAAAAAATTATATTGCTAATGATATCGTTCTCTTTAACCATAAGGGCGATGGAGGAGGACCGCTGATGATTCCTAAAGGAAATGATGTCTTCGAGCAGGCTGGTATTATCTCATTTGGACCCAAAGGATGTCAAGAAATCCTACTCCCCAGCATTTACGCCCAAGTTTCGAGTGAGTGATGCTTCTCCTCCCCGATGAAATCCGATCCATGACGGAGGTGTTGAAAGAGACATGAGATTCTTTCTTGCTGTTCCAGATTATCTGAGCTTCATCAAAGACAGTACGCCCGATGCCGTATGGTGTTGACGCCCGGAAGAACCTACCCGTCAGTTTTCTCCTACCAATTCCCTCCAGGCACTGCTAACCGTTTCGCACCATTAATTTGCCAAACCATCCGTCAGTTTTTTTCACCGAAGGCCAAACCAAGAAGATTCTGACTCCTGTTGGCACCACCAGCAGAACCTTCAACATATATTAGCAATGCATTTTAAAACTTTTCTTTCCTGTCATATTCTTGTATTGTCAAAACTTCTCTTTCTCATCGAACTCATGTGCAAATTCTTTGAATTTTTATGTCAATTTCATTCAATGGCACATTCCATCCCCGACTCTCTGATTCCATTTGCGTAGTAACCATTCAAGCAACCTTACTTTTCAACCCGTTTAGGCCAATTCGATTGAGATCGTTCATAATTGAGGAGACAAATCTCTTGATGCATGTTAACTTGGGATGTACAGATACTGAGACCGGGTACCGAGCACCGCTCGGTTCAGGCGTTTTCTGTGAAACTCGCAAAACCAATCCCCCCCCACACACACACCAGTCTTCGGCTTTTATTTTTTATTTAATATTATTATTGTACGCTTAACAGGCATCTTATCTCTACCCTCTACTTCAATTCCCCTGCATTCTGTTGCAGGTCAGGGAACTCCTACATGTAGACAGTGGCAGAAACGATTTTCATTTATTCCAGGGAACGGAACTGGAAACTTAAAAAGCAAGCGGCCGGAAGCGAGGCGCAGTCAGGAGCGCAACTCCTGAATGGTACCGGACGAAGAAGCTTACCATGTATGCGAGAGGCAGTTGCATGGTGTCTGGACAATTTAGTCCTGGACATTTAGACTCGAAAAATATGGTCCTAGGGCAAAATGGTTCCTACCGTTGAAAGGTACTGACAGTCTATTACGAGTCAGTTATGGTTAATATGGTTAATATGACCGCATCATCCAGATGATTTTCTAAAAAGAAGCTTTCTTTTCGATATTAACCTACAGGTTGTAAGCTTGGGATGGGAGCTATGATTCAGGGAGGCATTTATTTCTATGTATCCAGACTTCTGAGCTTCCCTTATCATTCGATATTGTTAGAGCATTAAAAGTTTATTTTTTCCCAACTCATTCACCTTCATCTGTTTCTGCTCTACTTTTCCTTTTCTTAGTATTTCACCCCAGTTTACACTCCCCCATCTTGACCACCGTGCTCCTTGTCTCGATGCCCTACCTTCTTTACCCCCCTCCCTTCCTCCGTCCCCTTCAACTGTCGGTCAGGCTCAGGCTGCCCCATATTATGAAGGATTCTTTTTTTTTTTTATCCAAGGGGAGAATCGGTAGGGGTGAAGCATTGAGAAATGGAAAGAGGAGCAGGAAGATGGAAGGTGAATGAGGAGGGGAAAAAAAACCTTTAAGCTTAAAGCTTTGAAAACTGAAGCTCCTGAACTAAATAGAAAATTCCCAAGCAAACGGACCGTGTCAATCACGAGGAAGCCATACCTTGGAAGGGGGACCCTCTTGTAGCCCTCTCTTCTCACTCCTAAGGCTGCTCACACCTGATGAAGCGTCGGTATTGCCAATTAAAATTTGTTGAGAATTTTCCGGGGAGGAGAGTTCGGTTCCTTTGTGGACTGATGGTCAGCTTACAAATGAAGCATACCTGTATGAGGCAAGTGAACGCCGACGTCCTGCCTATGAATATACTGTATATTATATGAATATATAGTGAATGCCTATGGTCTGTCTCATTCCTCTTCGTCCTTGTAATTTTTACTTCTCCCCCCCCTTAATGTCAGCTAATTTTCTCTCGATCCCACACTTAATGCCTGGGTGGCCTCTAAAAGTCGCCCTTCCGTACATCATCATATGTCGACTGGAAGGGTTCACACGGAAGTCTGTTATTAGTCCTTTTAAACCTTTATCACTGGCCGCTCGGTGCGTAGCATTTGTGGTACAGTTGGTGTCATCGGAGTAAAGCTTTCAGAGGTTGTTGAAAATCATCTTATAGTTTCACCTTTTCGTTTCAAATTCCGTGCCTCTTGCCTTCATGAGGCCTCTCCTCGGCCTCATGGTGCTGCAGACGTCACCCGCCTAAAATGCGTTTATAGCAACCAATGTTTCGAATAATTGTTTCAACGTTCGCCGATTCCATGAACTTGCGACGATCCCAGCCGACGAGTTCGTATAGATATATATTTATTTATCACTAAAAAAAAATCATAATGCGGCATTCGGTTTTCGTGAGAATCATACATTCCTTCGACATTCTTCCTTATTATCCTTATTATATTAACAGTGGCATACCGTCCGTGTTCATACCGTCACTAGGTATGGAAACCGTAGAACGCCGCCTCTCATCCATAACGCCACCATGGCGCCATACCAAGAACTGTTTATACGACTAAAAAAATATACCTTTGGAATTGTTCTACCCATCTCCATCAACGGTGACGCCCATCGCCTGGGGGAAACCGGAGCCTTCTTGGAAGTCACAGAAGTGTATTTTAATTCGGACTCAGAGATCAAGATCCATTATTTTTGGGTTTCACTTTCACCTTACCTCCACTCTGGTCTGTGCCTGAGCACACAATAACTTCGCCATGTCTTGTGCGGAGGTGAGGGGGAGCGATTTGCAGACGCAGACATCGTCGCCAAGTCAAAAGCGACGTCTTGTGCTTGGAGATATATTTCCATGCTTGACGCAATCGCAAAATTAAAGACTCATTCTCGTGGGATTGTTTCTGGCATTTCTTAACACATTGAGTCCCGGGCACGCGAAAACTAGACTGTCAAAACGTACAATTACGGTTCATGGGCTCAATGTGTTAACTGAAACAACCAGCCCCCCCCCCCCTCCCAGCACGACCATCGCCAGCATGACCCCTTCTATTCTCAGTGTGACCAGATTACTAAACAAGGCTGTGTGACCCATCCGGTATCAGTTCCCCATTTTTTGCCATTCTTACCTTTTACCGTTTTACGTTATTACTTTTTTTCGTATTGGTGGTCCCCTCCCAGCACGACCATCGCCAGCATGACCCCTTCTCCTCGTCGTCGCAAGTCGTTCCTCTGTTTCTACTCTTGGATTTGTACAATCTATGAAATGAGTCTATGTTTCTTCAATGGGGCACATCTTGATATTTCGGGCGATCCTTCTGCATTTATCACTTGAGCCAGACATTACTGCATGAGGAACAGGGTAGGACTGGCGGCCTAGGGACCGTAAATTGCTGACAAGGACCCCAGCACCCACAGGGCAAAGGCAAAGGCCCCAGACCCAAAAGTCCCTGCTCCCTCCGTTTTGGGGGGGGGGGGGGGGGGGGGCCTTTGGTATGAAGGTTTAATTCACTGTTCAACTTCATTGGCTATGTTCGAGCATACATGACCTGTAATGCTTGGCGAATACTCGCTAGGGCCATTTAATTAGTGTAAAATCCCACTCGCAAGAGCCACTCGCTTAGTTTAACGCCTCACTCGCTAGCAATAGCTACGAGTTTGAAAGATTTCAAACTTCAGGCGAGTACTCGCTAGTAGGGGTGTTACACTAAGCAAGTGACCCTAGTTGCCCTAGCGAGTGGGATTCTACTCTAAGTGAATGGCCCAAGCAAGTACTCGCCAAGTGTAACAGGGCCTTACTAATCAGGATAACCAGAAAGCCTCTGGGATATAAAATGTCACAGATGCTTTCTTGATCGTCTGGATGTCTGTCAGCGTCGTGATAGGCTCCATTGTCTATCCGCATGGTTCTCAAACTGTGGTCGAGGAGCCTCAGGGCACCAAGGGCAAAGCTTCTTAATCTGCGGCTCCTTACCCCACCCACTGGGATACCCGGAAATTTCCTGGTATCCCGGTGGGCCAGTCCGACCCTCATGAGGAACGTCCCACGAGTGCCCGAGTCAACTGAAACATTGACTCAAGTGAAAAGCGCTTCGTGGTTCGTTTTGTGCGGACTTGACATCTTGATTGGATTCTGCCCAGTGACGCAAGTGGTGACGCAAACATTCATCGCATGGCGGTGTGCTGGCGCGTCCTGGGCGTGCTGGTGCGATCACACCTCTTTGAAGCCTCATGTCAAGTATTGGGTAAACCAGTGGTTCCTAAACTTTTTAAATCTCGGATTTTTCACGCACATGCAGAAGGAACCACAGGTTTGAGAAGCTTTCCAATTTGTGCGCTGACGCGCCTAACACCTCGCGACCCCCTTCGTGCCTTGCCACGACCCCAGATAGTCGCGATGCACTGTTTGAGAACCACTGGGGTAAACAGTGGAGCTTATTACGACGCTGGCAGACATCCGGACGGCCGAAAAAGCCTCTGGGACATGAGATGCGAAGGTCATCTTGATTAGTAACTTCAAACAGAGGCAATGAAGTTGAACAGTGAGTTAAACCTTCTCCACCCTCAAAATTTTTCTTTATAATTAGAGGTATGAAAGTTTCACCATGGCTATGATTAGAGTGGTTGTAATCTTTGAACCTTACCTGGACTGTGAGCTCTCTTCCTATGACTTGGCGAGTTGAATGTTTTTAAGGGAGGGTCATATACAATATACTGTATATGCACCATAAGGCCACTATCCAGTCTTGCTTTGGAATAATGAATCGTGTTGAACATGAGGTTCTTATAATGACATTTTTCTGTCAGTTTCTGTTGTTCATGTGAGCAAAGGATCAACAACCTCCAGATTTGATTCAGCAGACTGCGCCTTGAAGTTTGACTTTTGGCTTGGGAACAACAGATATGAGGGGTGATCCAAAAGTTTCTACCCTGAGGTTGTAAGAATGATTGGAAAAAGCTGAAATTTGATTCCCTCATTCCTTAATCCTTTTCAGCAATTCAAAGGGCCAGCAGGTGGTTATAAGTGCATTTATATTTTTATGATAATTTTATTTATAAAACATGTTCCAGCCATTAAAAACATCTGCTTCAAATTGGAAAATTTTTAAATACTTAACAGTTTTTTATTTGTAGTATTATTCAAACTATATACATGATGATGTAAATGTATTCATACCAACAAAGCAGCTTATTCAATAATATAAATTTGAGGCATTATTCCAGCAATCAGACAAGCATTGATGCCCAGGGAGGTAATGCTGGAAATAATTTTTTTTTAAACATTCTATCACGTTCCCTTATATCTCAGGGCAGAAACTTTTAGATCACCCCTCATGTGTGCATGGTTGTAATTCATCTTGT